TATTTTTACAGTGTTATCATTTGCACCATGGTGCAAAAGCACAAATCAAGGCAATGGCACCAACCTGTACTGGCAGTCATTATATTTTTTGCTACCATGCACTTGCAGGAAAAAATACCAATTTCACTTAAGAATGTCCTTGATGAAGTAGCAAAACTGATTAATTTTATTAATAATTGAATATATGTATTTGTCATTCCTATGTAACTAAATGGAAAGCCCACATAAAGCACTTCTGCATACTCAAGTACGGTGGTTGTCATGAGGAAATGTAGTTGTGTGTGTGAGTTGCAAGCTAAACTAACCACTTTTTTCATGGAATACTATTTTTCTCAAAATAACAGCTGAGAGACAAATAATGATCATTCACATTTGGATATTTGGCAGATCTATTCTCAAAAATGAATGTCATTTCAACTGTTGCTCATGAAAGAATTTGAATTCTCATGTAAAATTTTGAAGATTAGAAAACCGTGAGCTTGCTTGCTTCCCAAAAGTTTTCTGAGATTGATGGTGACACTAACTAATGTGATTGTGTGACATTGTATATTGAAATGTGTCAACTTTCTGACCAATATTTTCCAAATGACTTATGAATGATGATACAAAGTCATGTATGGGTAAAAGATCCATCCAAAGGACAAGACAAACCAATGGAATTCGATATAACCATATGAAAGTTCAGATTCTAACTGTAATTAACCTTTAGGAAACTACCATGCATCAGCTTTTGTGTAGTGTTAAAAGAAGACCTACGATTACCTGAAACAGCTATTAAATATCCCTCTCTGTTCCCATTACGTATCTACTAGTCAGATTTTCTTCACATACTCAAAGAAAACAACATACTCTAATGGATTGAATGCAGAAGCAGATAAGAGAATCCAGCCCTCTTCTACTAAACCAGCTGTTAGAGATTTGCAAAAATGCAAAACAATGGCACTCATACTTTTGTTGAATAATTTTTCATAAGAAAAAATGTTTATGTCAACATGTACTAGATTGGCATTTTTGAATAATGACTTTAAATTTTGTTTTAATTTCTAATACAATAAAGATTGGTGGATTCAGTCATCAATGATGTGCTGCTAAATGTTTAACAACCAGCTTCCTGAGGAAAAGAAGTCCTGATTTGTAGTATTTACTGATTTCCATGGTGTAAATACTCTCATCATGGCCTATTTCAAGGTACTAACATGTCATGAGGGAGCTCTGGTAGCATAGTGGCTAAGGCACTTGACTGCTAACCAGAAGGCTGGCGGTTCAAACCCACCAGCCACTCCTCGGAAAGAAGGTTGGGCAATCCTACTTCCATAGTGATACTGCCTCGGAAACCCAAGGAGGGGTCACTATGAGTTGGGTCCGACTCGATGGCACATAACAACAACAACAACAACAACATGTCATGAAAGGAGCTCTGGTGGTACAGTGACTAAGGCATTTGACTGCTAGCCAGAAGGTTGGTGCTTCAAACTGACCAGTCACTCCACTGAAGGAAGATGGGGCAATCTACTTCCATAAAGATTTTCTGCTTTGGAAATCCAATGGGGGTCGCTATGAATTGGGTTTGATTTTTCTTTGGTTTGTCATTAAGGAGCCCTGGAGGCAAGGAGTTAAACACTTGGCTGCTAACCAAAAGGTCGTCAGTTTGAACCCACCAATCACTTCTCAGGAAAAAGATGTCAGTCTGCTTTCATAAAGATTACAGCCTTACGAAACCTATGAGGACAGTTCTACTCTGTCCTATAGGATCATTAAGTCAGAATCGAATCAATGGTGACGGCTTTTTTTGAAAAGATGCATACTGTCAGCTCCCACCAGCTCCAGCACACTACTGGATATAACTTATGTGAATTCAAGCTCTTTGGTATTATCACTCACTCTGAAGAGTGTCAAGGAGTCCTGATAACATAGTTGAGAACAGGTGTCCTGGGACCATCTATCTTATCTCAGTAACATTAGAGGTCCAATGAGAGGTCACAGAAAGCTGTGGACTTAATTACAAAAGTACTTGAATTTTAAATCTTACTAATGCATTTAAAATAAACATCTTAATACTGCTTTGTTTTCTATTAAACCCCTGGTAAGGACAAACACCTGAGTCTTTCAGTTACAATCCTTTTTTCAAACAATTTTTAAGGAAGGGCTCAGAGCTGGTTCTAGCTTTGTTACAGTTTCATGTCATTAGTTACCATCATGGCAACCCCATGTACAAAACATTGCCCAGTTCTGCACCATCTTCACGATGACTGGTGTGCTCCAGTCCACTGTTGCAGCCACCGTGTACTTTGCCTTCCAGCCAAGGGGGCTCATCTTCCAGCACTATATTGGACAACAGTCCATTGTGATCCAGTTTTCAGAGACTAATTTTCAGAAGTAGATTGTCATGCCCTTGTTCCTAGAGTCTTAGCCTAGAACCTTTCCTGAAACCTGTCCACCAGCGGTGACCCTGCTGGTGTTTCAAATACCAGTGACACAGCTTCCAGCATCACAACATCCAAGCCTCCACAGTATAAGCGGACAAATGGTGGTAGAATGTGGGTGTAAAAATCAGTTAAATGGATATTTGACTCCTCATGAAAGTTGCTCAGTTAGATGTGAACTTAATATCCTTATTCCACCTCCTCCATGTTGGAGGAGAATAAGAGAAATATTTTAAGGAGTTTATATAAACAAAATGTTACTTGAGAAAGAAAAGACCAATCACAAAATTTTTATATGTAAGATGTTTATTACCACACCAAAAGGTTTATAATGCACTTTAGTTTCCAGAACTATTAGGTTGAACAATATAAAACTGCCAGTTAGGCAGTTTTTTTTTTTTTTAAAAAAAAAAAAAAGGTGAACTAACAGCAATTTCATGTGGCTCAGCCTAATATATAATAAGATGGCTAAGATGTTTTTCAGCAGCAAAATGTTCCTAGTTCCACATCTGTTTATGTTATAAACAGATGCCTGAGAGATAAATAAGTCCTACTTGAGAAAAACATCCTACACTTAAATATACTGGAACTTGTCTTTTGTGGACATTTAAGCAGTCTCCTCAGTTCTGGCTTTGCTCTTCCCAGCTTGCCCAGTCATCCCATTTCATGGTCTCACTACGTGGACAACTCTTTAGAGATGAGAAAGCCATGGCACAGAAATTTAAACTGTCTGTCCAAGGCCACACTGCTGGTAAAACCAAGCTGCCTTTGAAACCAACTAGATGTTGATTTTTTTATTAAAGATCAAGAACTCATGGCTGCTGACTCACGAGCTTCTTCGAATAAAATACTAATGCCTACACCACAATCAAAATATTTTCTTCAAATGAACCATTCCAATGCCTTCTTGTTCACATTTGTTTACCCTGTCTGTCTCTAGGTAGTCTGTGTCCAAGAAACAAAAATCTCTTGCTGTGGACACTCTGCAAAAAGCAGCAGTATATTATCCAGAGTCGTCCCTGGGTGGTGCCAGCTGCTAACCAAAAGGTTTTGAGTTCAATTAGAGGTGACTCAGAAGAAAGGCCTGGAAATCTCTACTTCTGAAAAATCAGCCACTGAAAACCCTACAGTACACAGGTCTTACTCTGACACACATGGGATTACCATCAGTTGGAATCGGCTCGACAACAATTTTATTTATTTTTTCCTTTTTGGTATGTTATTCAGATAGTCCAAGACACGACCGATGAACAATGAGTGGACAAGCCATGCTTCCTTTATGTTCAAGAGATTTAATAAAGAAAGATCCCCACCCCCACCCCAGAACCTTCAGCTCTGTTACAATATGTTTTTAACTTTACATGGAGCTGAGATAAAAATAAAGCTTTCTTACAAATTACATTTTTTTTTCCAGTGAATTACTTTTGCAGTAAAAATAGCTGCTACATAAATCCCTCCTGATCTCTGAAAAGGAGCTGCATGTTTCCAAAAATAGTATTCTTATTTTAATCATACAGAATAACTGGGGGCAGGGGAAGGAAATGGCTGGTCAGGGAGAGGTGAACTGGGGAAACACAGTCAAACTAAAAAATAAGGTTTGTGTAGAAACCAATTAAAGACATGCATAGACATGGAAAACATATGTCATTTGTCAAGAAAAATACTGCTTTATAGCTATTTACTTTTACATTACAATTGAAGAAGAAACCACAATGAGGCCAGATAGCCCCTAAACAACATATTAGTTTCTTGTAAAAATTCCCAAATGTACAAAGTTCTTGCCAGATAATAACAATGGCAAAAAAAAAAAAAGAGGGATTAACCCTTCTAAACCTTATTCCTGTAAGTATATTAAATGTACATAATGCACATTTTACAATTTCTCTCTATCAGCCACTGGCTGCATGATGCAATCTTTGTAAAATGCCTGTATGTGCTATTGAAAAATGGAATAACATTGGATGTCTGCATTCTTCTTTCAAATACAGTTATATAACTATTTTAAATTACAATATACAGTTTCTCTTAAATAAGACTGGTAGAGAATTCTATAACAATTATAAGATTACAATAATATATACAAACTAACTTCTGAAATGGCATGATTCTTTCCTTCCCACCCTCCTACCCCTCTCAAACAAAGAGAATGCTTTTGCATTTGCTATTCCTAGTTGCAAAAGGCAAAAGAAAACAAATGCGTGTACGTGTGCACGCACACCATGCTTTCTTTGCAAAATATAAAATAGCTGCACAATCTGGTCACACACACGGCCTGCTTTGAGCGCGCATGGCTTTCCAGTGCTTCTTCCACGACCGTCTTAAGTTAGTAGCATCATAAATAGCATTATCTTGTCTGTCGGCAGACCTTTGAAGCAAGGAACCGTGCTGCCTTGCATGATGCTGAGCAAAATGGCCCAGGTAGAGAACCGTGATTTCAAAGGCAGTAAGACCACTGCTTCTTGGTGATGTTCCTGGACATATTAAATCCCTTCTGCTCAAGTTTCCTGGAGCAGCGGTCGGGACAAGCTTCCCATCAGTCACACAGGTCCGAGGCCCACTCAGGCAGTCCACCAGGCCTCAGTCTTCTGTGTCAGGCTGGACGCCCAGGATAGCATGCAGCTCCTCAGGCGTGAATCCAAGCAAGTTCTGGAGGTCGCACACAAAGCGGTACACGTACCGCTTCCCTGACGTCTTGTGAATGATGTTCTTGTCATAATAGTAGCGCAGACCACGGCTCAGCTTCTCATAGTTCATCTTTGGCTTGTTCTTTCTCTTCCCCCACCGGCGGGCCACCTTTGGTGGAACAGACAGAAAAGCATTGAGTATGATTCAGAGTTAAAATCAATTGAGAGAATACTACTGACATTTCTCCTGATTAGGACTCAAATGCATGCTTACCATAGAAATCTGACAACTGCACAGCACACACAGACTCAATCTGTTTTAATACATGTACCAGGGCCAATGTGCTCCTTGTCTACTAAAGTGCACTATGTCCTTGGGGACGGACGGGCAGATGAAAGACAAGCACACAGTACCATTTGGTACTGGGCTCTCAAGCACTGCGCACAGTGGCTTCCCAAGGGCTCAGAATCAGGATAGGCCTGAGACAAGGGAACTGCAGCTTGGAGCCCCCACCTCCCAGGATCATATCCTGACAGGAATAGCTGCCGGCTGGGGATCTGAGTGATGTGGTATGATTCACTCCTCAATGTTCCTGTTCCCAATGGAATCGTGAAGGTGACAGACAGATGATGCTCTCCCAGCGCCAGAGATCAAAGGTCTTCTGTGCCAAGGAGGGTGCCTGGCTCCAACTCACCAGGAATGGTTCCAGCACTGCCAAGCTCAGCCAAGAAGCTGGGAATCCAAGCCCAGGGCTCATTACCCCAAATGGAAAAAGGCAACTTCTCTAAGGCATTTTCAGATGGACTGGAGTAAACCTCAGCTTGCAGTGTGGACAAAAGGGCAAGGTGGTGATGTTTGCCCAATGCTCATGTGCATACCTGGGGGACACTGTCAAACTCTTAGCAATACATCAATGAATCCTTGTCCATATCTCAATAGTCTGATACTTCAGGCAGAATTGTTCTTGTTTGTACAGTGACCATTTTCCTGTGCCCCAAGGACAGCATACGTGAACCCAACAGTATGAAATCAGGGTTCAGAGATCAGAGGTTTCCCAGGCTTGACCTTACCTCATCAGGGTCAGCAAGCTTAAACTCCCATCCGTCCCCCGTCCAGCTAATGAATGGCTGGCAAGACTTGTCAGAGAGTAATTCCAAGAGAAACTGCCACAGCTGAATAGGCCCACTTCCTGGGAGGACAAGAGGCAAATTACACATTTTTTTACATTTAAAATACAGCGAGACTCTTATCAGTTTTATCAGTTGCTGTCCACTTCAACTCATGGTGCCCCATGTGCACGGTAAACTGTGCTCTATAGGGTTTTTAAAGCTGTGACCTTTCAGAAGCAGATTGCCGGACCTTTCTTCCAAGGCACCTTTGGGGGGGGTCCAAACTACCAACCTTCTGCCTAGTAGTCAAGTGCTCGAGTGCACCACCCAGCAAGGTTCTAGGCATCCTCATGTGTTGTTGCTGTTGGGTGCCCCTGAGTTGATTCCAACTCATAACAACCTCATGTGATCTTTAGGAGAGCAGGCTGCCAGGTCTTTCTCCTGCAGAGCTGCTGGGTGGATCTGAACCATCAACCTTTTGGCTAGCACTCAAGCACTTAACTGCTGCACTACCACAGCACCTTAAAACCAAAAACCAACTTAAGACCGTAGACCTGAGTCTCTGAATTCCAACAGGAAGATGCAACTCGGGATGTTAGGGCCTTAACGGAATGAGTCTGGACACCAAATGTAAGGCTTCCTCAACACTTCCTATGCCTGAAAGTCACTCAGCTGAGATACTCTTTTCCTTGATTGCTGGGTTTGGTCATGCCAGAAAAATTTAGGGCAAGCAACCCGTTTGTTACTTATATCAATGCCTTCACAGATTATTTCTAGAAACACACAGTGAGACAGTGTGCAGGCAGTTGAGGGGCATTTCAGACCACAGCGAGGCACATCCGTGGTGGTTCTCATTCTGCTTACCCTGCTGAGTGACCCCGGCTAAATTACTCCACCTCCCTGAGACTGGGGTTACTCAGCAGCCATGAGGGGGTAATAACCAAAGACTCACAGCATTTCAGGTAAAGTATGGTTAGCACAGTACTCACCGCAAACCTTCTCTCAGTTAGTATTTAATACCCAGCACTTTGTGAAACATTACATAGCCCTGTTTTACAGATGAGGAACAAGATGCAGTTTGAGACCAGGTGCCTTGGCCAGGGTCACACACCCATGAGTGTGGGGTGAGAGACTGAGGCTGCCAACTCAAACCCTACCTTCTTCTCACCAAAGAGCCACTCCCCAAAACTCAGTGGCTCTCATCCATGAAGAGCTGCTAGAGAGCACAAAGGACAGGCATTCTGGAACCAGTCAGGGCTGTGTTACTGGTGAGACATAGGACAGTGGTCTACTCCTGTAAAATGGGCTAACACCACCGCCCTGAGTTGGAGGAGTCTACAGATAGCGCAAATGGTTAAGTGCTCAGCTGCTAATAAAAAGGTTGAAGGTTCAAGTCCACCCTGTCATGCCTTGGAAGAAAGGCCTAGTGATCTACGTCTAAAAAATCAGCCACTGAAAACTCTATAAAGCACAGTTTTACTCTGATAAACACAAGATCATCATGAGCATAGCTGACTGTATGGAAACTGGTTTTTGTTTTGTTTTCTTCAGAGCTGGCAGTCAACAAATTGATAACTGATATTACTATTAAAACTAAAGGAAACACTAACACCATAGCTGTTTATATCAGTATCAGGCCCTCACTCCAGTGTATGAAAGCTATGTCAGTTTTCACATACGTTGCCTGTTTTAGGTGACAGATTAAAAAAAAAAAAAGATGCCTATGAATTCTTATTTTAACCTAGCATAGTTTATAAGGAGGAGGAGTTTTTTTTTTTAATCCTTAATGGCTCCATATAGTCAAAATATGGGGGGGAAAAAGTACATTTAAGGACACAAGAGGAAATGAAAAAAATCTCCATATTTTTCCTGAAGTCCTGGAAACATCTAATTGCAAAACCAGCTTTAATATTTGTCCTTTGCCTAGAATAGCTCTCACTGAAACCTTAAAAATAAGATTTTAGAAGAAAAGGTAAACAGTCCCTGTATTATTGGAGGTTGGCTCTGAAGCTAGCTCCTCCCTGACTCAGTCCCGATCTAAGCTGGTTTAGTTCTTTGACATTCCTGGAGTTGAGTTTCAGTGAAGAACTTCACAGGCCCAGTGTCCCCTGCTCCTGCTCTTCCTCTTCTCACTCCTCCTCTCTAGAATGCCTAGCGCATCCCAGGTGGAAAAAGCAGCCTGTGGATTTCCACCCACCGCAGTGACCTTCGTGTACATGAGGATCCCTGCACAGTTGGCATTTGTAGGATCCAGGGATATAACCAGTTATGCTGAGAATGCAGAGTGTAAACAGCAGTGTGCTCCCACTGGATAAACAAGGCACTCTACAGGGCACCAGGGGTTCACAGAGGAGGCCAGCAGCTGACTGGCGTGGCCACACTCACCTGTGAAACCAGCTAACACAGCTGCAGGTATAACTGGTTTGCCCTGCTCCACTGGGTCACTCCTCTCCTGGATGTAGTCCTTGAATGACATGGTTGGCTTGTTTAGGCCAAGGGGCTGGCTACAGTCGTCCTCAAAGCTCTCAAAGGAAGGCACTCGCTGTACATCGAGTAGGGATGACTGGCTATTCCAGGACTGCAGCAGCGAGTCTGAGCTCTCGAAACTGTCCGCGCCACTCTCAGCGGAGTCGTGTTCTCTGGGCTTACCTGGCAAAGAAAGACAACCAAACACACACTTGACTGGGTGCTCTGATGGCGTAGTGCCTAAGGCATCTGACTGCTAACCAGAAGGGTGGTGGTTCAAACCCACCAGCCACTTCTCCTAAGGAAGCCTGGGCAATCTACCTCTGTAGTGATACCACCTCAGAAACTCAAGGAGGGGGTCACTATGAGTTGGACTCAACTCCATGGCAATGAGTTTTTTTTTTTTTTACAGTTTAGGGCAATAAATGGGACAATGCTATTGAGGGATCACTTTAACGACCACCCATGAAACTGTACCCTGTGAGGGTAGAATCATTCACAGACTCTCAGAATGCTCTTATCACCAAGTGCTCAATCCTTACGATAAATATACAAATCACACTTCCATCAACAGTAGACTGGATAGATTGGAGCTTTACTATACAGCAGTGAAGAGGGAGGGCAGTGAGGGCTCAGCAGTAAAATTCTTGCCCTCCATGTGGAAGACTCATGTTTGACTTTCAGTCAATGTACCTCATGTGTAGCCATCACCCGTCTGTCATGGAAGTGTGTGGTTTGCTATGATGCTGAAAGAAATTTCAGCAGAGCTTCCTCAATAAGATGAACAAGGAAGAAAGGCCTGGTGCTCTACTTGTGGAAAATTTGCCAATGAAAACCTGATGGATCTCAATGGCCTGATCCCCAACAGATCACAGGGAATATGTAGGACTGGCAATTTTTTGTTCTGTTATACATGAGATTGCCAAGAGTCAGAGGTCGACTCAACAGCAGCTAACAACAAAAACAAAGAACAAAGTTTCATGTAATGGAACACTATACAGCAATGAAAAATGGCACATTGTTGTTATATTCTATAACACAGATTAATCTCAGACTTAATTATGAGCAAAACATAAGCACCAAAGTAAACAGTGTTTCCATTTACAGTGGTTCCATTTAAATGGAGATCAAGAACTAGCCAATGATGAACAGAATAACATGCCCTCTAGGTGAGGAAGCAGGGGTACTGGCTGAGAAGGGGCAAGTGTGAGTATTCCTGCATGCTGGAAACTTCTGTATCTCCATCTGGGTGGTGGTTACACAGATTACCAAAAAACTAAACAAAACCAATGTCACAAAACAAAATGCATATAAATTAATGAATGAAAAACTAATATGCTCTGTGAACTTTCAACCAAACTACAATTGACAAAAAAAAAAAAAAAACACTGCCTTGAAGTTGACTCCAACTCATGGCAACCCCAGGAACTTTCTTCCATGGAGCTCCTAGGTGGGTTCCAATCACAAAACTTTAGGTTCATAGTCATGTACAAATCATTTGTGCCCTTGGTGGTTCAAACAGCCAAAAGGATGGCACTTCAAACCCAGCCAGAGGTGCCTTGGAAGAAAGGGCTGGTGATTCCGAAAAATCAGCCATTGAAAGCCCTCTGGAGCACAGTTCTACTCTGACACACATGGGGTTGCCATGAGTCAGAGTCTATTCTATGGCAACTGATACACAAGTGTATATATGTAAAAATTCAACAAGTTGTACAACTGTATATATGTTACATTTCCATTGTAAAACCTGTCACATTCCCACACTTGTCTCCACCAAACATCCCAGTAGTGGAGGAATTTAACCTCAAGAGTAGGAACTCTGTCTAGTTTACTAGTAGCCTCAGTGCCTGGACCAGTGCTGAGACATATTATGGGTCTGTTTGTTGAATGAACCAATTATCTGTGTTAATGACAGTAAGTCACTTAGAACATGGAAAAGTACTTCTAATGGCTGAAAACCTTTTTATCAAGAAAAAGAAAAAAAAAAACAACATTCATTTCACTGCCTGATGGGATGACATTGCCAGTTTCCAGAATCAAATCAACAGTCTTATTTAATGAAACACTTGGATGTGTCCAATCTTACCGGAATTGTTAGGAAGCAAATTCAAGTTGCTTCCCTGGAAGTCCTGGCTGACGGGACAGTAGCTGACATTGATGGTGCTGAGCCGTGACTTGGGGTACAGCTGGAACTCCTGCTCTGAACTAAGAGCGCTGGGCACGGGAGATGGCTGACACAAGCTGTCCAGGAGGCCGCCTTTGGGGTAGTTCTGTGTCTGCATTCCATAGGGTGCCTGCTCTACACCTAAACCTAGAACAGTACCATCAGACAGCCCTTAGTGAGGGTTAACACAGTAACTGTCAAGGCCCTCTAAACCCTGGAACCACGCACCAAACATGCTAGCTCAATTTTCTGTCACCTCCACACCAAACATGCCCAGTCCTGCATGCTTTCCCCCTCCACAAAACCTCTGCAGAGACACTGGCTTTGGTGGCAGGTTGTCCACTATGCCTTCTTCTTCTCAAAACACTCCATTTTCTCAACATAGAAAGCCTTTTCCAAAATGGAAGCTGCTTTTGGACCCAGGACTCAGTGTCACAATGCTATTATTTTTATAGCTCGGTAGTTTGTTGTTGTTGTTGTTGTTGTTATGTGCTGTCGAGTCTGACCCGACTCATAGCGACCCCTCCTTGGGTTTCCAAGGCAGTATCACTATGGAAGTAGATTGCCCCATCTTCCTTCCGAGGAGTGGCTGGTGGATTTGAACCACCAGCCTCGGTAGTTTACTGAGTGCATTTATGTAACCCTCAGGATGAGAGGGGTCACAGTCTTTTAGGTCCCAGGGATACTAAGGCTTAGGGAGAATAAGTGATTTGCAAACATCATATGGTTTGTAAGGAGCAGAGCTGAGCCTTGAAACCACATCTCCTGATGCCAAGTCCAAGCTTCCCTCCCTCTCCTTTATCACACCTGCTTCCACCGAAATTCATCAAAGAAAAAGTAATTTTCTGGAAACTAAAGGAGTTTCTCTTACTTTGACCCCAGATCAGGCAGGTAAAAGACTCGTACTGTGCTACCTTTGGAAACCCTACTGAGTCGGCCAACCGGTAAACTCCTGGGTAGAGTGGTGCAGAGCAGGAAGCCCTCACCTGACCTGAATAGTTTTAACTTGAGGCCGGAGTCAAATCAGAGAACTGTACCAACATTATCAAAGCACAAAGTTCTGATGATGTATGTAGTTCTCCAACCACCCACTTCCCACACTGACTAGGGAGGAACACCCCTTAACCTATCCTCACCAGCCTGAGCACCCAGAAGGAAGGACCCAAATTCCAAGAGTCCTCTAAAAACTCCAGGGCTCTAAGCAAACTAAGGACTGCTCTCTATGCTAGGCCTGCCTCCACCTTTCTGTGATTTATTGTTGCTGGTGGTGTGTGCCACAGAATCAATTCCAACTCCCAGTGACCCTGCAGGACAGAGCAGAGTGGCCCCACGAGGTTTCCTCACCTGTAACATTTACAGCAGCAGGTCGCCAGGTCTTTCCTCCTACAGAGCCACCGGATGAGTTCAAACCTTTTGGTTTGCATCTGAGTGCTTATCACTCCACCATCAGGGCTCCCTTCTTTGCAACACTGGTTTATTATCTGACCATCAGCTCACTTATTTCTGCCCCTTACTCTCTCTGAATTACCTAGGTCAACACTGACCAATACAAAGATAATGTGAACCACTTACACAACTTCAAACTCTAATAGCCACATTTAAAAAGTAAAAAGAACTGTGTGGAATTAATTTTAATATATCTTTTTTTAACCTAAAATATCAACTACCATCATTTCAATATCCAATCAGTATTTCATAAATTATTAAGGAGGTATTTTAGGTTCTTTGCTTCATACAAAGACTTCAAAAATTGGCCTGCATTCTGTTCTCACCACACATCTCAATGTAGACCAGCCACACTGCAAGTGTTCAGTAGCTCAGTAATCACCAGTGGCTACAACATGAGATGGCGCAGGTCTAGGCTATTCCATTAGAGTCCAGATCTAACAGGATGACTTAACAGCAAGTTCTTAGGGTAGGATCAATCAGACTGACCTATTGAATTGCTATTAATCCAATGAGGAACTGAGTTGAGGTGTGAATTTTCTTCATACTGCTCTTCTGTCTTCTCTTGGTTTTCTGAAAAATAGGAAGAGACCTATAAGATTGCAACTCTACTTAAAAACCACACAAGAGAAAAATTATTTTCCAAATTAGTGTTCTCTGATTATTTTTGCTGACATGCATTTAGTGTTTCCCATTTAACGTGATGGCATACCGCTTTGTGTATATCTGCTCCAGGTCACCATGATGTCTACAGGAAAAACTAGGGACAGCAATACATTTTTCTAATAATCAGGAAAAGTCTTCCAAAATGAACAGTCATTGGAAAAGAAGGTAACTATTCTATTGAGTAATTTTCAAGATCTAGATTATGTATAAAATTCATTCACTTATTCAACAAATATTCAACTATTTGTTATGAAATACTATCCGGACAAGAGGCTGAGAAAACAGTACATTAACAACACAGACACAGTCTTGTGTCCTGTGAAGCTTACAGCTCACTGCTACAAAAGCTGCAAGCTTCTCAAGAGTGCATCAAGCATTACAAAGAGAGATACACAGTTTCTATGAGAGACTATAACAGGGGACACATTTGCCAAAGAACTTTGAAAGGGAAAAGGTTGGACTCTCTACTTAACAATGAATACACTTAACCACAAACTGAAACACACACAAACTCACACCCCTGAGTAAAAGCAAAACATGCCCAATTTGCTAACAATCAGATTCAGTAGAAATTTGTCAGATAAGACCCATCCATGTTCAAAGAAAATCTGGGGTCTTTAAAAATAAGAACAAAATATTTTATGTCCCTGGGCCTTGGAGATCAGAACTAAAAAGAACTGGTAGTTGAATTCCTAAGGTCCCTATGATTCTGAGAGAAACTCAGTGTGTTTAAAACAGACTCAATGAAAGATACTTCCCTGAATCTACAAATGTGCTAATTTTCTCCTTTATAAATTAAATGATCCATCATTATAATTTTAACTCAATGTATTTTTAACATTGATCTCACTACTCTTTTAAGGTCTAAACCAGGACTTTCTCTGTATTTGGTGAGATTTCTACGGTTTAATGGTGAGTTTTGGTATAATAAGTCAATGTGTAAATACAAATCAACTACTCACACATTTGTTTAGAAATATAACAAAGCAAAATCAAAAAGAAATTTGTATTCCACTTGGTCTCAGGACAATTTACTTTGAAGTTCAGAGAGTTTATAAGACTCAAGGGCTCCCTTTCCCTTAAAAAAACCAAACCTTTAGGCTGACTTATTTCTTTCTGTTCTTAGGGTGAGCCCAGAGAACATGGGAATCTTTGATGCCCTATATACCTGAATCAACACGTATGAACTCCTATGACAAATGCAGTCTGGCAATTGCAAACAAATTAGTGACTAAGGCAACTGCCTTGTGGCTATACTTGATGCTACACACAGAGATACTTAAGTGGAAACACCACCATATACCTGACTCACTCGAGTGTTATTTCCAGGCAATTTACTTTAAATCATTTGAAACGTCAGACCTACAGCTGAAAAGCACTGATCCTGCCTCACTCTTCCCTGCCACGGCTCACCCAGATGAGGAAGAGCCAAGCCATGCATCTGGTACCTTTAATCATCTGCTCCAGATGTTCCCAGAGAATGTCGCCCACAAAGTCAGGTGCCAGCTCCAGAAAGCGCTCCTTGCCAAGGTTGCACAAGACCTGACCAGTCATGCCAAACCTCTGCAGGTTTACGTTCACCAGGCTGAACTCGTTGGTAGCCCAGAGAAGCCACTGGCATACTTGCTGCTCAGTCCATAGCCAAGGATCTAGAGAGAAAGGAAGAAGCAATGTAACAAACAAGGAGAGAGACTGGAAGGAGACCTGATTTATATCCATTAACAAAATGAGTGAGACACCATTACAATATGCCCAAGGTAAATTCTAAGATGCTAACAATGATTCCCTCTAATGTACATTCAGTAAGAGCTAGATTAAGTGTTTTGCTGAGTGTGCTAAAATAAAAACTTGTTCAAGCTAACTATATAGATGCTACTCTTTGCAAAATGCTCTGAAGAGAAGTCCAAAAAATAAATCAAAATCAAGTAATTGCTGTCAAATTTACAAATCTAGTACAACACACACTCAGGAAAGAAAAAAAAAAACAAAAACAGTTGCCACTGTGCTCCAAAGAATTTTCAAGGCTGGGCCTTTCAAAAGTAAATTGCTAGCCTTTCTTCTGAGGCTCCTCTGGGCAGGTGTGAACCACCCACCTTTTGGATAGTAGCTGATTTTCTTTAACCATCTGCACCACCCAAAGACTCAGAAAAGCAGTTGTAAAAGGCATCACTTACTCTTTGGGATGCCAAGGCGGCACTGCTCCTTCTTGAAGCCACTGAAGGTAGCTTTTAAGGCTTGACTCATCACAGCCTTGCTGCATGGTGTTAACAGAGGCAATTCACAGTTGGAGGACTCTAGAGAGAAACCCCATGGGGTCATAAGTACTTCAAGATGTCAATATCAGATGCAGGGGTTAGGGGAGAACATTTATGCTTTCAGGAAAGGATAATACTGATTCCCAAACCTTATTCTTTATGAGAATAACTATTAACAAAAAAATTTTGACTACTACTAAGAAAATATATATCTCATAACCAACAAAACGCAAGTCTTATTTTGCACAGCTTCCTAAAGCAGTTATGCATAGGTCAAATTTTTACCTAAGTCTATTTTTAGAGTTTTACACAATGAAAGAAATTGCACGGTATTTGTCTGAATGGCTTAATGGATTGTAAATGCATATTCTGAAAGTTACTTCCATTAAACTAAGTGACAGGTGAAGAGATTTCAAGTATGATATGAAAACACAAACTTAACACCCACAAAGGAGGCACATTCAATTCTCTAAACAAAAAAACCTTCTCTGGATTTCTTCAGCAATTTAAAATTACACAACTATTGCATGACGTTATGCTTATGTAAGCGTACGTGTTTTAATTAATTTTCTGGGCTGTGTTTTCTAGCACCCACTTCATATGACAAAGTTATCTTTGGAATGTTTCCAACTAATAACTCCACCATAGTAAATGCAGAGATGTCATCTGACATACTAAAAAGAATGAACAATGACAAAAAGAAGTACAGAAATAAACAGATATGGGCAAGGATTAGCAGAAATAATGTTATCCAAAGCTCCATGTGGAAATGATTTGACTAATAGTGTGAACTCTCAACTAAAGGCATTTTAATGTCCACTGTTTTGTCTGGTTTGCAGAGTGCACCAGGGAAATAAGGACCCAGCTTGATACAGTGTGGAAAACATCAATAATGGAAATCTCAGGAATGTCACTGCAGTTCACCAACAGCAGCATGTGTGCTCTCTCTGGGGTGTCTTCTAGCATGTTAAGACATCAGAATCATCGCGTTCAGAAAAAAGGGAAACTGCCTTCTCCCAGGTCCAGAGCCACTATCTGACTTTTCACATCAACAATTTAAGTATCAACATTCACCATTATGAATCGTCATCTCTTTAGTCACTGAACTACTTAGGGAAATCATACATAATTTGTCAAGGCTGAGTAACAAATTACCATAAGAAATTGAATCCAAGCCTGTTGGCACTTCTTGGAGTGTTTGTTCTTCATTTAGTGAGGGGTAAACAGCAAACAGGGACCCATCAAAAGTGTCAAAGGCTGGCTGTCGCTGTGAAAACAGACAGAAAAGAAAACTGAAACACAGTATTTTAATGTATTTAATTATCTATTTTAAAAGTGGTTCATGGCTAACCCTGGTTACACTGGCAACTATAAACCATCATCTGAAATAAACCAATCAGTTCTCTAAATAGATTTTTAAGAAAATCAGGGTGACTGAAATGATTCTATTTTACTTTGGACTATTTAATCCATATCAGAGTCAGAATGACTGAGAATTTGCTTTAATGGCTTAATCAATTTAAGCTAATAAATTAAATAAACAAACCTAAAAATAATATAATCTTGGAAGGACAGTGTTGGGTGGAACCTTAGAGACCACTTTATCCAAACATTGGGCCCTTCTGCTAAATCAGAAGTTCAACTGGGCTTCGTGTTTAGCAAAAATGACCCTTGGCAGGGTAATTTTAGCACACTACAGCTAAAAGAAAAGGCAAATTATTAAATAAAAATTGAAAAATCATACAAAGAAATAAATTACTTTATCTTTGGAAGTATGTACAATGAAATGTTTACCATGAAACACTTTTAACTGGAACTAACATTTTTTTTTCCCCTCAATCCCAATGGTTCAGAAAAGATTAATACATTGAGAAAATTTAAGGTTTAATTTTCTGAAAGTAAAGTATATTAAAAAGATATCCCCCACCACCACCACCCCCCCCACACACACACACTAGAGTGCCTATGATTAAAAAAAACACAAAACAACAGGTGCTGGCAAGGATGTGGAGAAATTGGAACACTAATCTATTGCTGATGGGACTGTAAAAAGCTATAGTCACTGTGGAAAACATTTTGGCAGATCCACAAAAAGTTAAACATAGAATTACCATATGACCCACCAATGCCATTCCTAGGTATATACACTCAAAAGAATTAAAAGCAACAACACCTACAGATACCTCAATGTTCACTGCAGCACTATTCACAATAGCTTTAAGATGGAAACAGCCAAAATGTCCATTAACAGATGACTGGATCAACAAAATGTGGTCTCTCCATACAACAAAATATTACTCTGCCATAAACAGAAATGAAGTGCTCATATATGCTACAACAGTGGGTGTACCTTGAAAACACCTGAGTGAAAGAAGTCACAAAAGGACAAGCACTGTCTGATCCCACTTATATGAAATATTTAGAATAGGCTGGTGTGTAAATAATAAACCAAAGTTTATTAGTTGTCACCAGAAGTGGGTGGGAGGGAGAGGGAAAGGAAGACACAATGCTTAGGGGACACTGAGCTTCTGTTAAGAGTAATAGAAAAATGTGGGAATGATTAAGGGTGATGGTTATGATGAACATAATTCATGTCACTGAAGTTTAATGGCATGTGAAGACTGTTGTTGTTGGACCCAACTCATAGCGACCCCTCCTTGGGTTTCCGAGGCAGTATCACTACAGAAGTAGATTGCCCCATCTTCCTTCCGAGGAGTGGCTAGTGGATTCGAACCACCAGCCTTCTGGTTAGCAGTCAAGTGCCTTAGTCACTATGCTACCAGATGTTTTGTTACCCACAAATTTACCAAAAAAAAAAAAAAAAAAATCCTCGAAATCATCTAAGGAGAAAGAATTCCAATGGAAATAGGTTTAAAGTTAAATACAACTATTTACAGCTTAGGGGAAAGAAGAGACACATGGAAAAATAAAACCTCATACTGAGTCAATGTCTGATAATCTCATGTAACTTCTATGAAAGAAACTCTATTCAAATTAAGCCTCATTTACATATATCAAATACTTATTGATTCATCATTGCCTTGATTCATCATTACTACCTCACTTATAGAGAAAAAAAGGTGAAGAAAGGTTATATTTTTCCAACATAAAGTGGAAATCCCATGTTATTTGTAATACAATGATCCATCTGTTGAGTCATCAAGTAAAAGAAAATGTGTAATACATTTACAAATAAAAATCGTGTGTGTGCTTTCTTTTCAAAAATGTAGAACAATGAGTGATGCATTTCAAAGGGGGCAGGCAGCAGTTGGAAGCTAGCCCCCAAAACCCAAGACAATGACATTTAACTGCTCAATATGTCTCCAATCTGACAGGGGACACTAATCAAGTACTCATCGGATTTTATAAGCTATTTTATAACAGGACTAATTCTGGTGAAACATCAACAGATTTTTTAAATTCTCATAAGCATTGCAGCCAGGTGACTAAGAAATGCCTTTCATGGCTGTAATTTCTGGGTTTTTGTTCTTTTTTTTTAAACCAGGAAGCCAAAGGACAATACAAATTTGTAAATTTGGGCTGCGTATTTCAACACATCCATTTTCACAATGGTGGTTTCTTCTCCAAACTCAGAAACAGCATGGGCATCACAGAGTCCTTTCAATTTATAGAAGAATTTTTCTTAAGGATATCATAATTTCTTGTACAGTTTCTGCCATGCTTAAAATATCTGACCAAAGCAAGAAAATTCAGTAGCCTGATGAGCTTCATAATACTAGAAAGGCCCGTGTCAATTTCCAGTTCTTCGGGTTGGATCAGACAGATAACCTCATAATAATAGAGAAAAGAATATATAACGTGCCTGCGATAGATCGTGATTATATAAGACACTAAGCTTTGAGGATGCAGTCTTAAAATTACTGCTTTAGAAGCACATTTACTATCTTATGCTAAAAGACAATCAAATCTTACTGTCACACTTACAGAAGGCAAATGGGAAATGATGTTTGTGCTGCTAAAGAATGCTCCTAAAAGCAATTAGGATAGAAGCTGCATGGAATTTGTTAATGCAAAAGGTTCTTTCATCTTTAATCTGTTTTTTTTTTGGGGGGGGTTATGTAAACATATGGCCCTGTTCTCTGCTCCATGAAAAGGCTCCTTTACTCGTAACTTTGGATGGAAGGGGCAGCAGTAGTGGATCTGTCTCCCTCTTCTGATTCTTTCTTTCATTTAAGTTCTTAAACTGCCTACATGTGACCCAAGGAAACTCCTGATGGGCTAGTAAAGACAGTAGAGACAGCCTCTCCAGCTTTCTTCAAATGAGAATCACAGGATTTTTTTTTTTTTCTTTTCCCTTAGAAGGAGCCTGAAAGATAAGCCATAAGGCCTTACCATTCACAATTGAAATGGTTCCATATCTTGGAGGACAAATAGAGCCAGCATCAAGATACCCTTTTTAAAGACCAGAAGATTGAGGCCCAGAGTGATTAAGCCCAGGGTCCAGGGTCACACATCCAGCAAAAAATTAAAAAGACAAGACTAGAACCTGTCTTCTGGGACCCAGCCCATCATTCTCACCATCTAAAGACTGAGTTTTCCAATTTTACTTCTTTTTAATTAAAGCCTTGATCACTTACCTTGAGTATCCCTCTGTAACTGTTAGACACAGGAGCCACCTGATCCATGTTCTTGATTCCAAAATCATTCATCTTAAAAGACAGAAAGAAAGAGAGTCAAAGGCAAGTACATTTAAAAAAGTACATTTTAAAGAAGTCACCCTGGGTCTGCCAGGTTCTCTATAGCCTAACAGGTAACTCAAAATTTAAGGCCAGGAGTTCTTATTTAAAAGGCCTTGCCCTGAAACATCTCAAGCCAAAAGCACTTCTCCAGACAACAACCAGCTATGCAATTTAGATAATTGAATACTTATGTTGATTCCCCAGTGAATTCCAGTAAGCTATGAGGAAACAGACACACAGATAAAGCCACTTTCTGGCTGCCTCCCAAGGGAGCCTTGCTGGGAGTTGCTGAGCAAGGGGGACTGTCTTTCCAGGGACAAGAGGGGAAGAGCTACCCTGCAGTGCCATTCCAGTTAGCTTGAGGCATAAGCCGAGGTGGTCACCTCCTGTCTACATGGCTACCCAGCCAGTACCAATGTATGAGCCCAAGAGCACCCTCAGAGGGTGCCTGACCCTGGCAGTTCCCCGAGGATCCAGATCAGGAATGCCTGCTGGAAAAAGACATCCCCCTCCTCTGGTCAATATGTTATGAGGAAGCAAGCACACACTCAGGAAGGGGACAGAAAAGAGAACCAAATACTTCAGCCCAAACCCTCTTGCATAGTCCCTGCTCTGGGTCCACAAGCTCAAAAAATTTCTGCTTTGTGTTTTACTCAGCTGTGCATTTCTACAAGAGGAAGTGATTCTGATGATGGTTCAGCCTTACTTGCTTCTTACACTAGGCCTATGCTGTGCACAGAAGCCACCAGTCATGTGTGGCTGCTGGGCACTTGACGCTTGGCTAACTAACATGAATTGAGGTGTGCTCTAGGCGTTACTAATCTCAAGGCTGGCAGTTTGAACCTACCCAGCGGCACTGCGAGTAAAAGGCCTCTCGATCTGCTCCCATGAAGATTACAGCCCAGAAAACCCTATGGAGCAGTTCTACTCTGTAACACATGAGATTGCCATGAGTTGGAATTAGCTCAATGGCCATAGATTTTTTTTGTGGTTTTTTTTTTTTTTGGTTCTAGGTATAAAATACACACTGAATTTCAAAGACTTGACAGGAAAAAAGTAAAGTATCTCAATAATAATTTTTATATTTACTTATGTTTATATAATACCGCGAATATATTAGGTTGGATGAAATATACTGAAATCAATTTCACCTGTTTAATTCATAGAAAATTAAAAATGACATATATGGCTTGCAACTGAACAGTGCTATAAAAGACTGGAAATTTATTTGGGGACCCTAAAATGTACTTGTTTGGCCAAGTAAGCAGTATAGTAATAAAAAGCACTACCAAAAAAGTGTTAATCAAAAATATAGTGACTAACAGTCATTGTGAAATAACTAGGGCTAGCACGGATGATGGAGTTCCAGAGAGGTGCAAAGAGTTAACACACTCAAGTACTGACAGAAAGGCTGGGGGTTCAAGTTCACCCAGAGGTGCCTCAGAAGAAAGACCAGTTGATCTACTTCCCAAAAATCAGCCCCTGAGACCTTATGGAGCACAGTCCTACTCTGACACACACGGGGTCACCATGAGTCAGAATCAACACTATGGTAACGGTCTAGCACAGGTGACAACAACATTTACCTCGAGGGGTATCCCTCACCCTCCCTGGTCCATGGCTATGGAACTGAAGGCTCATAACAAAGCTGTATGGGGGTACCCTTAAATGAGCCCCCCCACGCACACTGGGTGTTCTCACCTATAACAACCAAGAACTTCCAGGAGTCAAATACTCTGCAATTTATGTAACTTACTGGAAGCAACAATTAGCACATTCTCATGTAAATATTTAAATTCAAGTATGTGCTTTCTTTTTTTTTTTTCTTTATGATCAACATTATAACTAAACCAGGCCTCCCAACAACTCTGCCACCCAATACACATACACACACATAACACACATACACACACATAACACACATACACACAACCTCACACATACTCACACCCCTAACGTGGCAATGTGGGAGACAACAGCCATTGGGAAAGGCTGTAAAATCCCCTGCCCTGCAGGTAATTATCATGGTAGCCAAGACAGAGGGACAACACCCGATAATCAGCTTATGGGTAGTGGGTGGGACGGTATTGTTCTGGGATCAATAGTGCCCACACTGGATCAAAATCCCCACTTTATCAATTCTGTCATCTGCATTTACTCAAGAATCAATACTCACTACTAACAATCACTGCTGCTGATAGATGCCTTCTCTCTGAGCCCTCAGCACCACTTTAAGGACCATACATCCCCACCTCCCTGAATCTTCCTAACATCCAGGAGGTAGTTTGTATACCACCTTGCAGGAGGCAATGGAGACCCAGATGTCAAATAACTTGCCCTGGATCACACAACTACCATGGGGCTATGAAGGGGCAGACCAAAAAAAAAACTGCCATCGAGTCAATTCTGACTCTTAGTGACCCCCTTTGGGTTTCCAAGTGGTAAGTATTTACCACAGAACAGCTGGGGGGTTTGAATCACCAACCTTCTGGTTAGCAGTCAAATGCCTTAGGCACTGTGCCACAAGGGCTCCTTACTAAGGGGCACAGCAAGGAGCAGGATCAAATCCCAGTTGCTTATGGTCCTAATCCACTGTGCCTGGCATGTGCCCTTCCACCAGCACATCACTATAGGGTATTAGCTTACGAGTATTATTAGAGTAGGCCCTTCTCACTGTCCTTTGTGATGTTACATCCTCTTTCACTGAGAGCTGTATGTCAGTTATCTAGAAGAATTAAGCCATACCACCTGTTGATTAAATAAACACGCCTCAAACAGAAGGCCAAGACAATAGGCATCTTGGGTTTGTTCAGTATCTATTCAGTACCCAGCAAAACCAGTTGCCAGTTGATTGCAATGCATGTCAACCCTATGTGTCAGAGTAGAACTGTACTCCATAGGGTTTTCAGTGGCTGATTTTTCATGTACATGGATTGCCAGACAGGCCTTCCTTCCAAGGTACTTCTGGTGGACTAGAACCACCAACATTTCCGTTAGTAGACTGCTGGCTTTATCTTACAAGTTCCAACTTCAGAGGCTGACAGAGAAAGGCTGTTGGACAGCCTCAGAAAAGCTCTGCCTGGCTTTTGTGTACAAATACCAGAAGAAAAGGCAGGCTACCACTCCCACACAAAGAGCTATAATTACTAGCTACAGAATAGAATTCTTTTGTTGTCCAGCTCTTAATGAGTTTTGTAAAAACCATGTAGAATTAAAGTGCTCCACTAAATGGTTTCAGGCAGACACATAACTAATCAAATTTAAGTTCACTCATTTTACTCAACACAGCTTGTTAAAGTGACAAGCATGCCAAACTTCTCCACATAAATCAATTTCAAGTTTAGGTCCTTTTGGTGTTGCCATATTGATGACTGCTTTTGAAACAAAAAGTGGGGGAGGGCATAGCAGAGTGAAATGGCTCAGAATGGTTAAATTTGGAAAGAAAAAGAACTTGCCTTGCTCCACAATAGTGTCCTTATTACAACAAGTAATCAGTTATGTAAGATTAGAACAGAGGTTTGTATTTCGTTAAATTTGGGAGAGAAAAAAAAAAAACCCTGTAAAACACTTTTAAAGGTTAGTTTTGCTTTTTCGATTTGAAAGTTAATCAATTTAGAGATGAATGACTAATCCCAGAAATGAGTACGTTTCCCTGTGGGATACATGGTGCTAATATTTACTGTACTGTGATATTACTCAGAATTTTAATAAACCTTAACTTAGAGATTTATCTAGGTGATTGCTGGTGGTGTGGGCAGCCGGATAACACACACAATCTCCTGCTGGTGAATTAAAATAAATTACATCTCCAAAGGGCCCTGGCTCGCTTATTTACTTTCTAAATAAGCAGCACGCAAGCTATTTTAGTCCACCCTGAAATTTAATATAGGCTAACAGAAAAAGTCTCGTGTACTTAAAAAAAAATACCCCCAAAAACCCCCAAATACACATACACAAATGCTCACTGTTACTCCTTCATTCAAAACACTTCAAGAACAGGAAAATAAAGGTAGCCTGCGCCTCCAGGTCCCCATTTCGAACAGGTTCCCTCACCAAGATCGGCCAAGGAGCCCCCAAATCCGGAGGTTTTGGGTACCCGCACGGGTCTCGCACAAATGGAAGGACGAGAGGGCGCCACCGGCTCACCCGCCTGGAGCCTCCCTCACCCGCCGCCCCCGGCTGGGCCCGGGACGTGGTTTAGCAGGTGACTGGTGAGGGCTGGGAGATCCAGCGCTCCCGCACGTTTTTCGGGGTGCCGTAGCCTTCCACCTTTACGCGCCGGGCGCCACACCATCCAAAAAACCTCTCTGTCAGGCTCGGCGCCGTTCTCCACAATGGAGCGCCCGACAAAGTCTCCCTCAAACCCGAGGCGCGCCTGGGCCAGACGGCCCGCAGACTGCGCTCCTGGGCCACCAGGGCACCCTCCTACGTCCCCAACACCCAGGGACAATTCAGGCCTCCGAGGTACCCACAGGGCGAGAATCCCCGGCAACTCAGCCCGCACTGCCTTTTAGAAAACAAAGCCAAAGCAAAGTGAAACAAGCCCCGCGCCCCGCCCGGGAGGCCTCCCAGCGACCGGCGGCACCGCCCGAATGCGCGAGGCCCAGGCCCAAACGTCTCGGGATCCCGGGCGACTCCTCCAGCGGACCTCGGCACAGATCCTCTCGCCGAGCCCTAGGCCGCTCCGCCACCCCCAAGGCCACCTGGTACCCGGAAAACGAGCCTGAGAGCGGAACTCAGACGCGCGCCCTTTGGATTCTAAAAGGAGCCGCCACCCCCACCTTGACCCCCTGGGTCACCCCCAGGATCTAGACTTCGGTGTCACCGCGTCCTCTCGTCCCATTTCTGGGACACCCTACTGGGGAAAGGGGCAGGGCGCGGGAGGGGCTAATCCGCAAACGCCCAGCCCGCGCTCTCCATGTTCTGCGTTACAGATTGGGCTCCAAGACACCCCTGCCCCGCAAACCCCG